TGAGGGCGAAGGTCTCGAGCGACCAGAGGGTCGGGGACCCGCCGGGTCGGTGTGCCTCCCCTAGGTCCAGCCGGAGGACGCTGGGATAGCGGGGAGATTGGATAGACGGCAAGTCTGGAGGACGCTGGGATAGCGGGGAGATTGGATAGACGGCAAGTCTGGAGGACGCTGGGCTGGCGGGGAGATTGGATAGACGGCAAGTCTGGAGGACGCTGGGCTAGCGGGGAGATTGGATAGACGGCAAGTCTGGAGGACGCTGGGCTGGCGGGGAGATTGGATAGACGGCAAGTCTGGAGGACGCTGGGCTAGCGGGGAGATTGGATAGACGGCAAGTCTGGAGGACGCTGGGCTAGTGGGGAGATTGGATAGACGGCAAGTCTGGAGGACGCTGGGATGGCGGGGAGATTGGATAGACGGCAAGTCGGAGGACGCTGGGATAGCGGGGAGATTGGATAGACGGCAAATCCGGAGGACCCTGGGCTAGCGGGGAGATTGGATAGACGGCAAGTCTGGAGGACGCTGGGATGGCGGGGAGATTGGATAGACGGCAAGTCTGGAGGACGCTGGGATGGCGGGGAGATTGGATAGACGGCAAGTCTGGAGGACGCTGGGCTAGGGGGGAGATTGGATAGATGGCAAGTCTGGAGGACGCTGGGCTAGCGGGGAGATTGGATAGACGGCAAGTCTGGAGGACGCTGGGATGGCGGGGAGATTGGATAGACGGCAAGTCTGGAGGACGCTGGAATGGTGGGGAGATTGGATAGACGGCAAGTCTGGAGGACGCTGGGATGGCGGGGAGATTGGATAGACGGCAAGTCCGGAGGACGCTGGACTAGCGGGGAGATTGGATAGACGGCAAGTCTGGAGGACGCTGGGCTAGCGGGGAGATTGGATAGATGGCAAGTCTGGAGGACGCTGGGCTAGGGGGGAGATTGGATAGATGGCAAGTCTGGAGGACGCTGGGATGGCGGGGAGATTGGATAGACAGCAAGTCTGGAGGACGCTGGAATGGCGGGGAGATTGGATAGACGGCAAGTCTGGAGGACGCTGGGCTAGCGGGGAGATTGGATAGACAGCAAGTCTGGAGGACGCTGGGCTAGCGGGGAGATTGGATAGACGGCAAGTCTGGAGGACGCTGGGATGGCGGGGAGATTGGATAGACAGCAAGTCTGGAGGACACTGGAATGGCGGGGAGATTGGATAGACGGCAAGTCCGGAGGACGCTGGGATGGCGGGGAGATTGGATAGACGGCAAGTCTGGAGGACGCTGGACTAGCGGGGAGATTGGATAGACGGCAAGTCCGGAGGACGCTGGGATGGCGGGGAGATTGGATAGACGGCAAGTCTGGAGGACGCTGGGCTAGGGAGGAGATTGGATAGACGGCAGGTCTGGAGGACGCTGGGCTAGGGGGGAGATTGGATAGACGGCAGGTCTGGAGGACGCTGGGATGGCGGGGAGATTGGATAGACGGCAAGTCTGGAGGACGCTGGGCTAGCGGGGAGATTAGATAGACGGCAAGTCTGGAGGACGCTGGGCTAGGGGGGAGATTGGATAGACGGCAGGTCTGGAGGACGCTGGGTTGGCGGGGAGATTGGATAGACGGCAAGTCTGGAGGATGCTGGGCTGGCGGGGAGATTAGATAGACGGCAAGTCTGGAGGACGCTGGGCTAGGGGGGAGATTGGATAGACGGCAGGTCTGGAGGACGCTGGGATGGCGGGGAGATTGGATAGACGGCAAGTCTGGAGGACGCTGGGATGGCGGGGAGATTGGATAGACGGCAAGTCTGGAGGACGCTGGGCTAGCGGGGAGATTGGATAGACGGCAAGTCTGGAGGACGCTGGGATGGCGGGGAGATTGGATAGACGGCAAGTCTGGAGGACGCTGGGCTAGCGGGGAGATTGGATAGACGGCAAGTCTGGAGGCTGTAGCTCCGTAGATTAGGAGTGAAGTGTGAGCTGTGCAGGTCAGGAGGCTGTACCTCCTCAGGGTAACGGGTGAGGGGACCGTACAACCCTTGTGTGTGTTAGGGACTGTGTCATTAAGACAATAAACTGTGTGTGCCATAAAGAGGTTTATTAGTCCGTCCTTTACAACACTACACATGTATAACTTGCCGTGTAAAACATCATTCATTCTCCTCTGGAACGGACGTCGCCACGCGGAGAGACGGACGCCGCCAACTCCGAGCCAACAGCGGCGGGCGTCGTCGTCACGGCTCGAGCTGGAACCCGGCACGTCGCGCGTGCCACGCGAGGTGGTCACTGTCTCGCGGCCAGCGCACGGTCACCCTGCAGGAGGTGAACGGGTTGGTGCGGAGACGACTCGGTGAGCGGCTTTCATCCGGCAATGCCAACCAGGGCCGGGGGCGGGATTCTAGAGTTGCCATCTCTGCTCCTCCTCCACCACCGCCGTGGTGATGGTGGTGGTCGTAGTGGTGGTGATGGCGGTGGTCGCAGTGATGGTGGTGGCTGCCGGGACTGTCAGGGAGCAGGCTCGGGGCGGTCGCTGGCTGCTCCATCGCTGGGGAACGAGAAGATAGCACGCAGCGTGGGGAGATAAACTCTTATAGTGTAGTAGATGATGATGAGAGAGAGACACGCAGACTCCAAATATACAGCAGCAGCAGGCGTCCGGGGCGGGGATGTAGCCCACGCCCTCCTGTATACCAGGCGAGGTAGTCAACATCTCCTAGCCACCGTGATGATGATGAGAGAGAGACACGCAAACTCCAAGTATACAGCAGCAGGCGTCAGGGTCTGGATCGAACCCACGACCTCCTACGCACCAGGCGAGGTAGTCAACATCTGTGTAGCCGCCGCTCACCGGGACGATTGCCGGGGCTCCGTCTGTCCCGCACGGTGCACACCAGCGCCAGCACCAGCACCAGCAGCGTCACCAGCAGCGTCGCCATGGCCACCAGCGAGCTGATGGAGGCGACACGGCCGCTGGCAAAGAGCGTCACCACGTCCCCCGTGGACACCCCACGCGAGGTGGATGGGGCGGTGGTGGCGGTGGTGGGGGTGGTGGTGGTGGATGGTGGTGGGGGCGGTGGGGGTGGTGGTGGGTGGGGGTGGGTGGTGGTGTGGGGTGGTGGTGCGGTGGTGGTGGTGGTGGCGGTGGGGGTGGTGGATGGGGTGGTGGTGGTGGATGGGGTGGTGGCGGTGGTGGTGGTGGGAGTGGTGGCGGCGGTGGTGGTGGTGGGGGCGGTGGGGGTGGTGGTGGTGGGGGTGGTGGTGGTGGGGGTGGTGGTGGCGGTGGGGGTGGTGGTGGTGGTGGCGGTGGTGGTGGTGGTGGTGGCGGTGGGGGTGGTGGTGGTGGTGGTGGCGGTGGTGGCGGTGGTGGCGGTGGCGGGGGTGGTGGTGGTGGTGGTGGCGGGGGTGGTGGCTACGAGATTGGGGACACGCGGGGAGATACGGGGAGACATGGGGAGACAGATACAGACAGAGATACAGATACACAGAGAGACACAGACAGAGACACAGTGAGACAGATACAGACAGAGAAACAGATACACAGAGACACAGACAGAGACACAGACAGAGACACAGTGAGACAGATACAGGCAGAGAGACACAGACAGAGACACAGTGAGACAGATACAGACAGAGAAACAGATACACAGACAGAGAGACACAGACAGAGACAGAGAGACAGATACACAGACAGAGAGACACAGACAGAGACAGAGAAACAGATACACAGACAGAGAGACACAGAGAGACAGATACACAGACAGAGAGACACAGACAGAGACAGAGAGACAGATACACAGACAGAGAGACAGATACACAGATACAGACAGAGAGACACAGACAGAGACACAGTGAGACAGATACAGACAGAGAAACAGATACACAGAGACACAGACAGAGACACAGACAGAGATACAGACAGAGAGACAGATACACAGAGAGACACAGACAGAGACACAGACAGAGACACAGAGAGACACAGACAGAGACACAGACAGAGATACAGACAGAGAGACAGATACACAAAGAGACACAGAGAGACACAGACAGAGACACAGAGAGACACAGACAGAGACACAGACAGAGACACAGACAGAGACACAGAGAGACAGAGACACAGAGAGACACAGACAGAGACACAGACAGAGACACAGACAGAGACACAGACAGAGTGGGATGCTGAGCAGTGTTGTTGGATGAGGAGCGGCGGTGCAGCGGTTAGCGCGCTGCGCTATGAACCCGGCGACCCAGGTTCGATTCCCGCTCACGGCCAACACCGGTGACGATTACCTGAACCGTTCCTGGGCCTCCCCTAGGTCGACTCAGCCTCAAAACGAGTACCTGGTGCGGCATGTAAACATCGCCACTGGGGAGACAAAGGTGGTCGGGCGTGGTGCTGGCCACCCACCCCCTCGTGTAAAGTTCTGACCTTCATAGGTGCTCACTAACAGCACTTGCCCCAACAGTCTGTTAAGGCTACACGGGGGATATTTGTCTGTGTGTGTCTGTGTGTGTGTCTGTGTGTACCTGTCTGTGTGTTGTTGTTCAACACCGCCTTGCCAGGCACGCTGAGGAGAGGCTTGCGGAGCCCCAATGCGGTTTCAGGAAAGGGCGGTCCTGCACAGATGCCATATTTTCTGTCCGTCTGCTACAGCAGAGGTGTAGGGAATTCCAACAAGACCTACATCTCTGCTTTATTGACCTGGTCAAGGCCTATGATACCATCAGTAGGACTGGGCTCTGGGCAGTTTTTCGTGCTTTCGGAGTCCCTGACCCTCTGCTCACGATCATTAAGGACCTTCATGATGGTGAGCGGGCCCGGATAAAACTACGTGGCCGGGAGTCAGAGCCTTTCCCTGTACACCTTGGGGTGCGACAGGGATGTCCTCTGGCTCCCACATTATTTAACATTTATTTTAACCACATAGTTCGTGAAGCCTTCAATAGCTGTACCAGAGGAATTTCCATCTGTTACAGATACAATGGGAGGCTGATCGATGCCCGGGTGCGGTCAAGGGATGGCTCCCTATCGCTCAACCATGTTGCGTATGCTGATGATTTGGTAATAGCTGCTCATTCAGAAGAGGAGTTGGAGACGCTGCTGCTGAGACTGGAGCGTGCCACTAAGAGGTGGGGCCTTACCATCAGCCCCACCAAAACTAAGCACCTGCCTGGGTATTTTGTACCATTGGACACTCCACCCCCACAACTCCCAATTGGTGATTGAGGAGTTGTGGAGAGAGTGGAGAGTTTCCCATACCTGGGCAGTGTGCTCATGACTGGCTGAGGTCTCACTCCGAATCAGTCGAGCGGCATTACCTTTTCATCGGTTACATAATACTGTGTGGAAGCTACCTGGTTTGTCACTCCGCACGAATCTTCAGGTCTTCTCGGCCACGGTCATTCCCTCCCTTCTCTACGCATGCGAAAAGTGGACCCCCCTAATGGAACATATTCGCCGGTTAGAAACATTTAGGCTGGCCTGTCTACGATCCATCCTGGGTTTAACCTGCAGGCTGGATTGTGTGAGGAGCTCACAAATCCCAGAAAGATCTGGGCAAAGTCCCATTGGTGAGCTCCTCCGGCAGGCAAGGCTGCGTTGGCTGGGCCATGTAGCCTGCATGCCCAGCCACCGCATGTCTGAACAGCTTTTGTTCAGCCGGATAGAGAGGGCTAAATGGGTGCGCCACTCACCCACCCACTCACCCACTCACCCACTCACCCACTCAATCACTCAACTACTTACCAAATCACTCGCTCACCCACCCACTCACCCACCCACTCACTCACCCACCCACCCACCCACTCACCCACTCAATCACTCACGCACCAACTCACTCAACCACCCACTCAGTCAACTACTCACCCACCCACTAAACCACCCACTCACTCAACTACTTACCAAATCACTCGCTCACCCACCCACTCACCCACCCACTCACCCACCCACCCACTCACTCACCCACCCACCTACTCACCCACCCACTCACTCACTCACGCACCCACTCAGTCAACTACTTACCCACCCACTAACCCACCCACTCACTCAACTACTTACCAAATCACTCGCTCACCCACCCACTCACTCACCCACTCACTCACTCACCCACCCACCCACTCACCCACTCACCCACCCACTCACTCACTCACTCACCCCACCCACCCACCCACCTACTCACCCACCCACTCACCCACCCACTCACTCACTCACCCACCCACCAACTCACTCACCCACCAACCCACTCACTCACTCACCCACTCATTCACCCACTCTCTCACCCACCAACTAACTCACCACCCACTCACTCACCCACCCACCCACTCACTCACCATCCCACTCACTCACCCACTCACCCACCACCCACCCACCCACTCACCCACCCACCCACTCACCCACGGCGCTGTGTGGTGGAGGGACGGAGACACACGACAGTGGAGACCACTCCCCTGTCTTCCACGCGGGTAGCGAGCCGCGACTCTCACGCGGACGCAGTACTCAGCAGCGCCTGCAGGCTGAGGCAGCGCGTGGCGGTAGCGACATCCCACAAAGCGCTCCTGGCAGGAGCAAGCAGATGGTCTCAGTGTGCCGGGTTACGTGGATGACACGTTGGTGGTCTGGCCACACGGCAAAGATAGACTGAGCGCGTTTCTAAATCATCTCAACTCGCAAAACCCATCCATCCAGTTCAGCATGGAAGTGGAAGCTGACAGAACTCAACCATTTCTGGACATTCAGTAGCAGCAGCAGCAATAGCATCGTCATCAGTAGTAGTAGCATCACCACCCACCCACTCACCCACTCACTCTCCCACCCACCCGCCCACCCACTCACCCACCCACCCACTCACCAACCCACCCACTCACCCACTCACCCACCCACTCACCCACCCACCCACCCACTCACTCATCCACCCACTCACCCACCCACTCACCCACCCACTCACCCACCCACTCACCCCACCCACTCACCAACCCACCCACTCATCCACCCACCCACTCACCCACCCACCCACCCACACCCCACCCACCCACTCACCCACCCACTCATCCACCCACCCACACACCCACTCACCCCCTCACCCACTCACCCACCCACTCACCCACCCACCCACTCACCCACCCACTCACCCACCCACTCACCACACACACACCCACCCACCCACCCACTCACCCACCCACACACCCACTCACCCACTCACCCACCCCACACCCCACTCACCCACCCACTCACCCACCCTCCCACCCACTCACCCACCAACTCAACCACCCACTCACCACACACCACCCACCCACACACCCACTCACCCACTCACCCACCCACCCACCCACTCACCCACCCACTCACCACCCACTCACCCACCCACTCACCCACCCACTCACCTACCCACCCACCCACTCACCCACCTACTCACCCACCCACTCACCCACCCATTCACCTACCCACCCACCCACTCACCCACCCACCCACTCACCCACCCACACACCCACTCACCCACCCACGCCCCACTCTCACCGTGCTAGTCACACCCCTCCTTGTGGAGACCTCGGCTTGTAGATGGTAGTGCACGCCACTCTGCGCCATCCTCCTCCTCCACTCGCTCCTCATGGAGACCCGCACGGACAGCTCCCACCGCTCTCCCTCGTCGCCACCGCCATCGCCGCCATCACCCTCATCGTCGTCATCATCGTCGTCGTAGTCATTCTCGTAGCCATCTTTGTCGTCATGTTCGTAGTCCTCACGCTCACTACCACACTCCTCCTCCTCACCACCCTCCTCACCACCCTCCTCCAGCATCGCGTCCTTGTGGAGCATCAAGGTGACAGTCGGAGCACTCAGCACGGCTGAGACACACACAGAGACACACAGACACACACACGGAGACACACAGAGACACACACAGAGACACACACAGAGACACACACACACAGACACACACACACACAGAGAAACTCACACACAGACACACACACACAGACACACAGAGACACACACACACAGAGACACTCATACACAGAGACAGACACACAGAGACACACACACACAGACAACAAAGACAAAGACAAAGATCCCCGTATAGCCTTAACAGACTGTAGGGGCAAGTGCTGTTAGCGAGCACCTATGAAGGCCGGAACGGTACACGAGGGGGTGGGTGGCCAGCACCACGCCCGACCGCCTTTGTCTCCCCAGTGGCGATGTTTACACACCGCACCAGGTACTCACTTAAGGCTGAGTCGACCTAGGGGAGGCCCAGAACCGGTTCAGATAATCGTCACTGGTGTTAGCCGTGAGCGGGAATCGAACCCGGGTCGCCAGGTTCATAGCGCAGCGCGCTAACCGCTGCACCACCGCTCCCCACACACACACACAGTGCGCTAACCACTGCACCACCGCTCCACACACACACACACAGTGCGCTAACCACTGCACCACCGCTACCCACACTGCGCTAACCACTGCACCACCACTCCCCACACACACACAGTGCGCTAACCACTGCACCACCGCTCCCCCCACACACACACAGTGCGCTAACCACTGCACCACCGCTCCCCCCACACACGCACACAGTGCGCTAACCACTGCACCACCGCTCCCCACACACACACACACAGTGTGCTAACCACTGCACCACCGCTCCCCACACACACACACACAGTGCGCTAACCACTGCACCACCGCTCCCCACACACACACAGTGCGCTAACCACTGCACCACCGCTCCCCACACACACACAGTGCGCTAACCACTGCACCCCCACTCCCCCCACACACACACAGTGCGCTAACCACTGTACCACCACTCACACACACAGTGCGCTAACCACTACACCACCGCTCCCCACACACACACAGTGCGCTAACCACTGCACCACCGCTCCTCACATACACACAGTGCGCTAACCACTGCACCACCGCTCCCCGCTCAACACACACAGTGCGCTAACCACTGCACCACCACTCCCACCCCCACACAGTGCGCTAACCACTGCACCACCGCTCCCCACACACACACAGTGCGCTAACCACTGCACCACCACTCCCCACACACTGTGCTAACCACTGCACCACCGCTCCCCACACTGCGCTAACCACTGCACCACCACTCCCCACACACACACAAAGTGCGCTAACCACTGCACCACCACTCCCCACACAAAGTGCGCTAACCACTGCACCACCACTCCCCACTCACACACACAGTGCGCTAACCACTGCACCACCACTCCCCACTCACACACAAAGTGCGCTAACCACTGCACCACCACTCCCCACTCACACACACAGTGCGCTAACCACTGCACCACCGCTCCCCCCCCACACACAGTGTGCTAACCACTGCCCCACCGCTCCCCACACACACACAAAGTGCGCTAACCACTGCACCACCGCTCCCCACACACACACAGTGCGCTAACCACTGCACCACCGCTCCCCACACACACACAGTGTGCTAACCACTGCCCCCACTGCTCCCCACACACACACAGTGTGCTAACCACTGCCCCACCGCTCCCCACACACACACACACAGTGCGCTAACCACTGCACCACCACTCCCCACACACACACAAAGTGCGCTAACCACTGCACCACCACTCCCCACACAAAGTGCGCTAACCACTGCACCCACCACTCCCCACTCACACACACAGTGCGCTAACCACTGCACCACCACTCCCCACTCACACACACAGTGCGCTAACCACTGCACCACCGCTCCCCCCCACACACACAGTGCGCTAACCACTGCACCACCGCTCCCCACACACACACAGTGCGCTAACCACTGTACCACCACTCCCCCCACACACACCACAGTGCGCTAACCACTGTACCACCACTCACACACACAGTGCGCTAACCACTACACCACCGCTCCCCACATACACACAGTGCGCTAACCACTGCACCACCGCTCCCCGCTCAACACACACAGTGCGCTAACCACTGCACCACCACTCCCACCCCCACACAGTGCGCTAACCACTGCACCACCGCTCCCCACACACACACAGTGCGCTAACCACTGCACCACCACTCCCCACACACTGTGCTAACCACTGCACCACCGCTCCCCACACTGCGCTAACCACCGCACCACCACTCCCCACACACACACAAAGTGCGCTAACCACTGTACCACCACTCCCCCCAACACAACACAGTGCGCTAACCACTGCACCACCGCTCCCCCCCCCACACACAGTGTGCTAACCACTGCCCCACCGCTCCCCACACACACACAAAGTGCGCTAACCACTGCACCACCGCTCCCACACACACACAGTGCGCTAACCACTGCACCACCGCTCCCCACACACACACAGTGTGCTAACCACTGCCCCACCGCTCCCCACACACACACAGTGTGCTAACCACTGCCCCACCGCTCCCCACACACACACACACACAGTGCGCTAACCACTGCACCACCACTCCCCACACACACACAAAGTGCGCTAACCACTGCACCACCACTCCCCACACAAAGTGCGCTAACCACTGCACCACCACTCCCCACTCACACACACAGTGCGCTAACCACTGCACCACCACTCCCCACTCACACACAGTGCGCTAACCACTGCACCACCGCTCCCCACACACACAAAGTGCGCTAACCACTGCACCACCACTCCCCACACAAAGTGCGCTAACCACTGCCACCACCACTCCCCAATCACACACACAGTGCGCTAACCACTGCACCACCGCTCCCCACACACTGTGCTAACCACTGCACCACCGCTCCCCACACTGCGCTAACCACTGCACCACCACTCCCCACACACACAAAGTGCGCTAACCACTGCACCCACCACTCCCACACAAAGTGCGCTAACCACTGCACCACCACTCCCCACTCACACACAGTGCGCTAACCACTGCACCACCGCTCCCCACACACTGCGCTAACCACTGCACCACCACTCCCCACACAGTGCGCTAACCACTGCACCACCGCTCCCCACACAGTGCGCTAACCACTGCACCACCGCTCCCCACACACTGCGCTAACCACTGCACCACCGCCCCCCACACGCACACACAGTGCGCTAACCACTGCACCACCACTCCCCACTCACACACAGTGCGCTAACCACTGCACCACCGCTCCCCACACACTGCGCTAACCACTGCACCACCACTCCCCACACACACACAGTGCGCTAACCACTGTACCACCGCTCCCCCACAGTGCGCTAACCACTGCACCACCACTCCCCACACACTGTGCTAACCACTGCACCACCGCTCCCCACACTGCGCTAACCACTGCACCACCACTCCCCACACCACACACAAGTGCGCTAACCACGTACCAACACTCCCCCCACACACACACAGTGCGCTAACCACGCCACCACCGCTCCCCCCCACACACAGTGTGCTAACCACTGCCCCCACCGCTCCCCACACACACACAAAGTGCGCTAACCACTGCACCACCCGCTCCACACACCACACAGTGCGCTAACCACTGCACCACCGTCTCCCCCAACACACACAGTGTCCTAACCACTGCCCCACCGCTCCCCACACACCACAGTGTGATAACCACTGCCCCACCGCTCCCACACACACACACACACACAGTGCGCTAACCACTGCACCACCACTCCCCACACACACACAAAGTGCGCTAACCACTGCACCACCACTCCCCACACAAAGTGCGCTAACCACTGCACCCCACTCCCCACTCACACAACACAGTGCGCTAACCACTGCACCACCACTCCCCACTCACACCACAGTGCGCTAACCACTGCACCACCGCATCCCCACACACACAAAGTGCGCTAACCACTGCACCACCACTCCCCACACAAAGTGCGCTAACCACTGCACCACCACTCCCCAATCACACACACAGTGCGCTTAACCACTGCACCACCGCTCCCCACACACTGTGCTAACCACTGCACCACCGCTCCCCACACTGCGCTAACCACTGCACCACCACTCCCCACACACACAAAGTGCGCTAACCACTGCATCCACCCACTCCCCACACAAAGTGCGCTAACCACTGCACCACCACTCCCCACTCACACACAGTGCGCTACCACTGCACCACCACTCCCCCACTCACACACAGTGCGCTAACACTGCACCACGCTCCCCACTCACACACAGTGCGCTAACCACTGCACCACCACTCCCACTCACACACAGTGCGCTAACCCTGCCCACCGCTTCCCCCCCACACATGCGCTAACACTGCACCACCACTCCCCCACAACACAGTGCGCTAACCACTGTACCACCGCCTCCCCACACAGTGCGCTAACCACTGCACCACCGCTCCCCACACACTGCGCTAACCACTGCACCACCGCCCCCCACACGCACACACAGTGCGCTAACCACTGCACCACCGCTCCCCCCACACACACACAGTGCGCTAACCACTGCACCACCACTCCCCACTCACACACACACTGCGCTAACCACTGCACCACCGCTCCCCACGTCCACCACAACTTGGTACCCGATGTATCGACCACCTCCGGCTGGGCTCACCGTGTGTGCACGTGACGAGGTGCTGGAGGTGGAGGAGGAGGAGGGAGAGGAAGAGTAGGCCAAGTCTCGAGACGAGTTTCCTCGCCGCCATGACGCCCATCCGGGAGACGCGTTTTGCAGTTTCCCAAGTCACGTGGTGCAGAGAAACTCGATTCCCGATTCGATTAACTCTGCTCGCGTCGATTCTTAATGGGATAACATTAGGAATCGATTACTGAAGATTAATGGATGTATAGAGTCGATTTCTATTGGGATAACATGGGAATCGATTTAACGTTGATTAAGCTAATGGAATCGATTTCCGTTGGGATAACATGGGAATGACTATCGTGGGTGTGTGTCCATGTGTGTGTCTAAAGTCGATGTCTGTGTGTAAGTTATATGTGTGTGTAAGTCGATGTCTGTGTGTACTTGTGTGTGTGTGAGTCCATGTGTGTGTAAGTCGATGTCTGTGTGTGTACGTTATAGTGTGTGTGTAAGTTTGTATGTTGTGTAAGTCGATGTCTGTGTGTACTTGTGTGTGTGAGTCCATGTGTGTGTATCTAAAGTCGATGTCTGTGTTTGTGTAAGTGTATATGTGTGTGTAAGTTGATGTCTGTGTGTACTTGTGTGTGTGTGAGTCCATGTGTGTGTATCTAAAGTCGATGTCTGTGTGTGTAAGTTTGTATGTGTGTATAAGTTGATGTCGTGTGTATTTGTGAGTCCATGTGTGTGTATCTAAAGTCGATGTCTGTGTAAGTTTGTATGTGTGTGTAAGTTGATGTCTGTGTGTGTGTACTTGTGTGTGTGAGTCCATTGTGTGTATCTCAAGTCGATGTCTGTGTGTGTAAGTGTATATGTGTGTGTAAGTCGATGTCTGTGTGTACTTGTGTGTGTGAGTCCATGTGTGTGTATCTCAAGTCGATGTCTGGTATGTGTGTACTTGTGTGTGTGAGTCCATGTGTGTGTATCTCAAGTCGATGTCTGGTGTGTGTACTTGTGTGTGTGTGTGAGCCCAGCCACCGCATGCCTAAACAGCTTTTGTTCGGCCGGATCGAGGGGGCTAAACGGGCGCGGCACGGGCGAGAGAAGAGATGGAGTGATGTGGTACAGGAGGACGTGGAGTTGAGTGGACTTGCCGATGACTGGTACCAGCGGTGTCAAGATCGGCCTCTTTGGAGGAGGCTCGTGAAGGACGCTACTGGGCAGTTGGAGGCAGTCGCCCTCCAGCAACAACGGAGGGCGGAGGAGCGACGCTCACAACAACGAGCGGAGCGCCGGGTGGCTAAAGCACGCAAGTTGGCACAGTATGGGGCACAGGTGGCGCATCAGCCAGTCATCTCGGTCAATCTCGGTCAGTCGACCCGTGGCACCTGCTGGGTCTGCCCCGTGACCCTGCAGCGGGCGTTCGACACTTCACTGTGGCCTCAAGGTGCACTTGGCCTGGCACAAGCGTCGTGGTGACGTCTCCGCCCCTTAGTGGCGAATGGCGGTTGTTGTGTTGTTGTGTGTTGATGTTTGTAATTGCACGTGCACATTAGGCACAGGCCTGAACCTGAGTTTCTTGCTTGAGGGTCACGTGACAGCCCGTCCAGCCGTCAGGTCCGTGACCTTATCCGACCCTCGGAAAGCTTCCCCACCTGCCCGTCTGTCTGCCCCGTGGCCCCATCTCCCTCCCTCTCCCCTCCTCATCTCTCTCGCTTTCACGCGGACAGCTGGGGAACCACCACCACCCACCACCACCACGCACAGCACACACACAACCACTGCTTTCTTATTAAGATAATCTGTTCATCTAAGTTCGCTTGCTTGCGTGCTTGCTTTGCGTGCTTGCTTACGACCGTTGCAAACCTTTCTGTCGTTTTTTAACCACTTCCCGTGATCCAATCGAGCTGATATTTTGCACACAGACTCGTTGTGCGAGACAATTACATGTTCGTGAAATTTTTTTTCCAAATTTGACACAGTTTAGGGGAATTTTTTTTAAATTATTTAATTACCAATTGCTTAATACTGGCAGACAATCATCTGACCCATAGGTGGCAGCCATCTCAAGCCAGAGACGAGAGGACTCTAGCCGCCACGCCTATAAAGGATTTATAGTGAAAAACTTTGTTTTACGGGTATACTTGTAGTGGTGGTATTGACGTGCGCCGGCAGTGATGGATCACGGGGCGCGGGGTTGGGCACGCATGTGGGCGTGGCATGGACGCGCGCGCCGGTGGTGAGGCGCGCTCACACAAGCTGGGAAAAGAGGATCGTAGCGAGTGCGCAGTGATTGGTCAGATAAGTGGGTACTCTCAGCGACGTCCGCAGGAGGGGTTAAAGGGGGACGCGCGAGAGCACTCGTGGTCAGTGTTAACCAGTTGAAGACCGAAGACGGGGTGGAGGAGGTAGTGGCCCGAGACCCCTAGTCCCGCCGTCCTTGTGGGGACCGGGGTCCTGTGTGGCTCGGAGCCGAGACTGGGGGGGCCGTAGTCCGACGCCCGTGTGGGTCGGGACGGTGGTACCAGAGCCGAGACGGGCACCCCGGCTGGGTGGTCCGGAAGGCTACGGGGCGTAAGAGCCGTGTCAGTACAGCTGAGTGGGTGTTGGTCACCCGTGTAGCTGAGTGGGTGTTAGTCACCCGTGTAGCTGAGTGGGTGTTGGTCACCCGTGTAGCTGAGTGGGTGTCCGTGTAGCTGAGTGTCCGTGTAGCTGAGTGGGTGACCGTGTAGCTGAGTGGGTGTCCGTGTAGCTGAGTGGGTGTCCGTCACCCGTGTAGCTAAGTGGGTGTTGGTCACCGTGTCGAGTAGGGTGTTAGTCATCCGTGTAACTACAAGTGGTGAAAATAAAGAGTGTGCTCCCTGAAGTCGTCTCCTGCCGAGTTACTACTTTACAACTGGCGTCAGAAGTAAACCTGTCTTCAAGGAGAATGGACCAAGGAAGACTTCTCGTTCCCACGTGCAAACGGAGACGACGACGGAAGAGGACGAGGAGTTGCCGCCGATGCAGCACTTCGCGGAAATGGCCGATGCTCGCCCGCCTCCGACACCAGCCTGCAGGACGCACACTCCCGCCTGGCGGGTTGCTGCTCGCCGCCGCTGCTATCTTGGCGGAGATCTCCGTTCCAGCGGCCGGTGGAACGCCTGCGGGGTTGGAAGAGGCGGCGCGGCTGGAGGGTTCCCGCCATAAGGCGTTTCGCGCCAAAAGTTTTGGAGTTGGCGC